TTTCCATCCATTCACATCTTTCAATTCTCATTTTCATGTCTTGTTGTCTTCTTTCGCTCCATTGCCTCGCACACATTCCACATTGTATGTGCTTCAAAGTCACAATGAGTTTATTTTCTATTCTTTTTATCACTTTGACGTCTCAATAAAGCTTTTTTTTTCTACTTCTTCCATGTATCTGGCGAAAATGAAGTGAAAGGATGTGTATGGAACTAACCAATAGATGAATGAAATTATTTATTTTCATCCTCGCCGTCTATTCTTTAAGGATACATCATTCATTCATTCCTTACAATTCACTTATTGAATTTATTTTTTATCTCATCTGGCAGCTTTTTCTTCTCCTATTGTGAAATAAATTAAATAAAAAACATTCATTGTTTAGGATGGATTGTTGGATGGGTGTGGATGGGGGTTAGAGCGCTTTTTGAAGTTTTGGAACTGACGAAAATATTTATAAATATGCGTTGTTCCCAGAAAGCACAAGTCGGTTAATCGATCAGAAATCTGACGTTAAGGTTAAGGTTAAGCTTGACTCTGGTGTGGAGCCGGATTTAAATCGAATTAAGCTCTATGTTAGATCCATGCCGATTTGGTTTTTGATTTCTGATTGATTAACCAACGTGTGCTTTCTGGGGTTGGTCAACAGTGCGATTATATTGGGTTTCGGATAAAAGAGGCAGGGGGTTTTGGGGGTCAACCTTCTCGCTATATGCAAAAACCAGAACTCAAAGTTGACTCGAGATTTTCATCGATTTTGTATTACGGAATGGACTCTTTACAAAATTTCATTGACTTCGAGCTCTGGAAAAAACTTCTTAAAATTGCTAGGATCCAATACGTTTTCAACACCGCCTCCCCAAAAATAAATTTCTTGCTTCGCCCTTTTGGATGGGTAGAACAGCAAGATGAAGGGTCCAGTATCTTAATGAGGAAGTAAGCAAGTCTTAACAATAAAAACTTGAAAAACTTTTAATAAAGGTCTGATAGGGAAATGGGGGGGGGGGGGGGGTGTCTTACTCCATTAAACCTACTTCTTCTCTAAATTTGTTAATTCATTGAGTCTGAATATCTTAATCTATCCCAAAATGCCACACAACATCCTCCAAAAACTAAGCTAATAAAAAAACTACAATCTATAAGCTTCAAGATGCTTAATGGAAAAATGAAGAAGAAGCAAGAAAAAAGACACCGAGTGGTGGAATGAAAAAGCTGCTAAAGATATCAATTGAATTTTCCTCATTTCCTTCCTTTCTTTCACTCTATTCATCCATATGCTCGCTTCCTTCTTGTCTTCTTTCTTATCACAGCGGGGAAATTTTGTTGAAGAATCAAAAAATGAATAAAAAATATTTTGATGGAGCAGCAGAAGAACAATATTATCGTTGTTTTGTTAAAAATTCATTGCATGAACATATGTAATATGGGAATTTTGTTTTTTGGAATTTTATTGTCTGTTAATGTTGAATGACTTTATGAGCTTCTGTGATGTGAATTTTTGAAATTGTTTAAATTTGGAATTTTGCGATATTCATGACATCGATGAAATTGAAAATAATTGGATTGGTCAATAAATCGTAGGTTCGAATCTTTCAAGTTTTATAAAAGAAATTAAATTCCATTTTTACTAATTTTTCAAATCTTTTTGTTATTTTTAAACCAAGTTCAACTTACATAGTTGAAAAAGGACGCTAGCGTCCTTAATATCCCGAACTGTCAGAAGGTTTCAGAGGAAAGAACAGTCTTTAGACGATCTCTAAGCGCGACAATGGGCCCTCGTGCGCTTGAACTAAGATAGTAAAGTAAGTAAGTTCAAAAACTAAAACTTTACAATTCTAGTTTGAATTTATTTTTTTAAAAAAAAATTTCAAAAAATCATTTAATTACAAAATTCATACCCATCAAAACTCAACAAGCATGGAAGTCATAACCCCATTTTTAATATTATCTGAGCATCAACAATCATAATAATCATCCCTCATTACTATTCATACCGCAAGCTTCATGTCATCACTTTCAATAATATAAAAAAAGGCTGTATGCGCAAGAAAATTCGATTAAAGTAATCATCATAATTTCCATCCATATGATTTTTTCCTCATTCATAAACTTATTATCATTTTTCCCTCCCCCCGACTTCAAATGCTCTTACTTCTGCCTGCTTAAAAATTATATTCGCTCTACAAAAAAAGAGGGGAACAAAAAAAATTATTTTTCATTGGGAAAAAATTGTTGAAACAAGAAAAAATGAAAATAAGATGCGGAAAATGTGTCATAACATATGACAACGACAATGAAATCGTGATTTTATGCACATACACTCTGACATACACACATAATGATAAACTTTAGCATAATTTTGAGGGAAGATTTGAGTTGGTTGATTTAGGGGTTAGCTTTGGAATGTTGGTGAGATCAAGGGTGTGGAACTGAAGTATTACATTTTGATCAATTTTGATCATTTCATCAGTAACACACCCTTGGGTGAGATGCTTTGATGTATAGCTACTCATGCTTTCTGTGGCATCAACAAGAACTTAATACAACCTTACAAAAATTCAAGTTTAAACTTATTTTTGGATCTCAAGGCAACACCACGTCGATACGAGTCATAAAGCAGCTTTGCGGATGGAGAAATTCAACAAGGAGTCACCTTCACGTTGCCACCATACTTACTTCGATAGCCCTATATATCAATTGTGATTCATGGCCTCCCATAAATGCCGCCTAAATCTAGCTCCATCGCTGGCTATCGCTTGATAATTTCCTATTACAAATGCAATACTGTCTCTGTCAACAGCCTCTATCTTTCCATGAGTTCTTTAGCCTTCACCATGCTCTCTTGCCATCTCCAAAGTCTGTTTTAAAGAACTTATTTAATAGAGGTGTCCTTATATCATGTCTAGTCCATAAGAGCCTGTATATTTTTATTCTTTGAATCTTCTAAAATGTCACTACCATATCAGTGGCGCAGCTATAATTTGAAAATAATCTTGTTGATTTATACCCCCTCCCTGGCCTTGCTTCTGGCTAGACATTCAACACATCAAGCAATCATTCAATATAATTCAAAAAATGCGCCTTATACCAACATCTGTCACACACACACCCTTCACTTCTCATACAAACATTTCATCTCTTCCTATTGTCTTTTATTTCTTGTACACTCATTTTCATGAATGAGTGCAAAAGAGTGATTTAAATTATGCAAATAATATTTTTTTTCTTGGCATCGGAAGTTGAACGAGTTTGTGAAGGAAGAGAAGAGAGCAATAAAAGTGATTATGAAATGTAAATACGATTAAAAGCATGTGTTTTTCCGCACAATCTCATGAAAACATCTTCATCTGTCTATGCGTGTTGAGTAACCCTTTAGGATGGTTTTGGGAGAATTTTTTGGGGGGTTGTCTACATTGTGTGGATAATCATGGGGGGGGGGGGGTCAAAAATTGAGGGTGCGTCAATATTTAGGCTGTCCATCAGCTTTTGCCGATTTTTGATCAAAAAGTGGAACTAGTCTCTGAAAAAGCGGGACAGGCCAAATTTTCAAGCATTTTCCAAGGAAAATAGGTTCCAAAAAGTGGAACATTAAGGATTCTAGGCAGGACTTTGATTTAAACAGCTAGAATGTCCCGATCAAAAGTACGCAGTTGGACAGCCAATCAATACTAGGTCCCCTAATTTAGAAAGGTTCAGCTCTGGCAGATACATCAATAATGTCATTCAATCCTCCAAAATCCACCTAAGGTTCCTCAGCGTCACTATTCAACTAAACAAAAAATCACACTAAACCTCTGCAAACTCTCAAGTGGGGGTATGAAAATGAATAAACATCGCGAGCAGTGATAAAGAGGGAAATAAGCGACACCCTTTGTTGCCACATAAATGAGGATATAACATCGTATGCATGTATATAAAGACATTGTGAGGAACAAAAAGATAAAACGACTGAGATAAAAAAAACATCATGAAATGTTTCACTACGCTCATTCCAATCTATCTAGTGCGACAATAATGGGGAATCTCATGAATAAAATAACAATAAATTTTGTCACCATGCAAATGAAGATGAGGATGGAAAAAAAATGTGTAGGAAATGGAGATTCAAGGAATAGGAAGAATATTCTTAAAGACAAAAGATGTAAAGTGAGGAAGTAATCGATATATAAGTTTTTCGGGTTTAAAAGCGCTAAGATTGGATTCTTATGGATCCATGGCAGTTCAATATGGATCTTATAAGCAGGTCTGAATGATTTTAACATTAAAAAGTGGTCTAAGTAAGTCTGAATTTTGACAGGAACCTGAATAAAGCTGAGTATCAAATAGCCTTTGAATGAGTCTGAGCTATGATACGGGCCTTAAAAGTCAGTCAGTCAAAAATGATTCAAAAACCTTTCAGATCGTGCACACCAGTGTTGTCCAAACTTTTTTGAGCCACGGCACACTTTAGGTGGAAGCCATGACTAAAGTCGCACAAAGCATATCGCTCTCGTCATTTCCAAAAAAATTTCTACGGCACACCATGGTACCGCGGCACACAGTATGGACACCACTGGTCCACACCAAGCATTAAAGCCATTCAAAAACTTTTTGTTCCCATTTTTTTTCAACAACTCTAAAATTAGTTGTTTCCAGAGAGTGTAATTAAGTCAAATTCAATGACTCGAATCTGTTCCTTTTATTTTCCTCCTTTTTCGCGCGTCGTTAATTTATTTGTACAAGCTCATGCGGCAAAATGCCTTCTGGGCGGCACTTTATAATTGCAAAAACTTTCTCATTTTGCTTCTTCTTCGCTTTGTTGGCGGAGTGAATTTATTGTTCCTTAGTGAAAATAATCACCATAGAATTCAATATGCTTTAATTTAAACTTATTTGAATTGAGGAAGCAGTTGACATTTCGTGGAATATTTTTGAATGGGTAAAAGTCATGATTTTAAGTATAAAACAGCTGCAAACATAGTCAAAGCATTTTTTATTATTAATGACTTATTAAATAGCATCTAAAAACTATCATTCGATAATACAAGTTTTCTAAATGGAATCTGTTCAAAGAACTTGTTGGTTACGTTTCTAAAAACTGGTTCCCATTGTTTACGTGTTTCGCCGATCATAACATTGTAGAATATTTTCCAGTTTTGGTTGATGAAGCCGATAAATAAGTCGTCTATAAATAAGAAAGAAGAATTAATTGAAAAAAAAATTTGGTGATGATTTCAAGGATAATTATAGAAAACCAAGTGGGACTGATCAGTTGCTATGTAACATGCAGGCGCGTAGCTAGGTGGGCAGTGAAGGAGGTTGACAAATCCTTCTACGTTAAAAAATATATCTTCATTTTGATTTGACAAAACTTTTTTGTAACCACAGCACACCCCCCCCCCCCCCCCTCAATTACTTGGCTACTCCCCTGGTAACACGAGTTATGAGCCCATCCTTCACTTTTTCACAAATATTTCAGGTACAATAATATTGAATTTTTAATAAATTGTCTCAAATCTTATCTTAAAAAGACGTGACATAATTAATGAACGACTCCCAAGAAATCCTGATGACCAAAAAAACACGGAATTTTCAATTTTGCTCACACTTGTGTGTCGCGGCACATGACTTGCCCATCACTGGTTTAAAATAATGTTTAAAAAATCAGCATTAACATGCCACAAATACTTACTAAGTTGTTCATTAGGGAACACATCAGATGTTCCAAAAACCAATTCCTTAGCTTCCGGTAAGACATCAAACAACACAATTTTCATGAACTGTTCTCCATCTCTTTCTTCAATTTTTCCCTTAATAGTCCATCTTGTAGTTACATCACGGAATGTAGCATTAAATGGAATTGTATTTTCATACTTAAGTGATCCTAATTCAAATTTAGTGTCAAGGTTTGCTGTTGCGAACAATTTTGGCATGTGAACGAGCGCAAGAATCTTCATGTCTTTGTCTGTGAAATCTGATTTGAGTTTTAAGACTTTTGTATTTTTCAATCCATAGCCTTTGCCATCAAAAAGTTTGAAGTATCCTTTAAGAAAGTCACCGTAGTCATATTTGAATGTGTATGGCTCGTACGTAAATGGTTCAAATTGTATGAAATCAAAATAGTTTGGATTTTTTGGCAGGTCTATGAGAAATTCTTGGAGTGAATTTTTGATGCATATGTCACGCTTTGGATCTTGGATGTTGCAGAGTTTGAGGAAAGGTGCTGTTGAATAAACATTACATAAATTAGAATAAGTTGATTTGTAGTGTTGTGCATTTGAGTAGCTTGAATGTGGGTGGCAAAAGAACTCGTGGAAGGAAGCTGTTGATAGAGACAGTATAGCACTTGGTATTGGAAATTGGCAGACGGTAGCCAGCGATAGAGTCAGCTTCAGGCGTCAACTAAGGGAGGTCATTGATTACAATTGTTTTGTACGACCAGCGAAGTAAGTAAGTAAGGAGGTTAAGTGATGTTTTGACCGTCTAGATTCCATTGCTTGCAGATACCACAGCTGATCCACGATTAATATCATGTCTTTTATTCAGAAACTTTCACTTACGAGGATCTTTAAACTGCCCCACACTGACAGCAACAAGACACGATATCACAATTAATATCTTCATTTTAACACTACTTCTTCCACTAAAGTTTCGTTGACTCTGAAGATGTCAAAATATTTTTAAGTGCTATTTATAGGAAATAATCAAAATCTCGTTTTTTTTTGCAAAAAAACTAGTAGTTTGCATAATGTAGACAAGATGTTTGGTGTCAGCTTCCACAAAAAAAATAATACTAGATTCTGAACTTTACAGATGCATTCATTCTTTTTATTTCAAGGTTGACTGCTGCAAAATTGCTTTTGTTGCGTGTGTTGAGGTCAAGGTTGTGGAAATATCAACATTTTATTTCATCAATTCATTTAAAAACTTATTCCTATATTAATTAAATTATTTAAGGCAGCGGTGGTCAACATTTTTTGTACCGTGGCACAGCTTGGTAGTAAGCCATGTCTACAACCAAACGGTTTATGAAATTTCAAAAAAATGACAATACACTAGTGCCGCGGCACATGGGTTAGCTACAGAGCTCGAAGTCGATTCGAGTTTACTCGAAGAAAATTAAGTTGACTCGATTCAACTCGAGTCTACTCGAACCGCATCAAATTCGGGATAATTTAAGGCAGTGATAGTTGTTTGTAAGGAATATTCTTAATGATTCGGTTTGAAAGTTGCTTGAACACAGGATCCCATTGTTTTCTGGTTTCAGGAATCAAAACTTCATAAAACGGTCTCCAACTTTGATTGATGAACTCAACAAGAGTTTTTACTGAAATAACAAACCAAAGTTCTTTATTTTAACATCCTTAAAAAATTTTAAAAGATATTCTCACAGAATAAATCATTTGGTCGTGTCCCAGTTGCTGCAAACTTCATTCCTTTTGCGTCTGGATTGATATCAAAATAATCAATATTCAAGAAGTCTTCACCATTTCTGTTTACAACCGTTCCTTTAACTGTCCACTTAGCAGTTACGTCTAGAATTGTGACATTAAATGTTCCACTATTTGCATACTTAAGTGGCTGAAGTTCCCCATTAGCTTCATATTCTCCATTTACCCACAATTTTGGGTGCTTCAAAAGTGCATGAATTTTAATTTCCTTATCACTAAAATATGTTTTAGTTTTTAAAACTTTTGCATCTTGTAGTCCATAGCACTTGCAATTGTTGAACTTCATAAAGCCTTTAAGGAAATTTTCGTAGTCATAAGCAAATGTTATTGGACCGTACTCAAGTGGTTCGAACTTTAAATCACTATAATAAGTTGGATTTTTCTCTAAACCTATAAAGAATTTTTCTATTGAACTTCTGACACACTCGTTACGATTTGGATCACTTCTGCTGCATGGCTGCATGAAAAATGCTATTTGGAAAACAATTTCAATTTTTTAAAAAAATTTTAAATTTAATCTACAAACTTTCACTTACGACGATCAACAATTTCTGCTAAACTTATTCCAACCATACAAGACAGCACAACTAGAATCTTCATTTTTGCCTTTTAATCTTTTCACGGCCAAGGTTTTATTTATTCTAAAGATGCTTGTTTGCTTTATCGAGCTATTTATACTGCTGCACCAGAACTTCGTTAATATTATTAAAGATTCGTTGACATTATTGTAATAAAATAAAAAGTTTTGGGAACTCGTTGAAAAATTATATCTTTAGGTATGGATACTCGAAGTGCAGATAACAGCACCAACAAGGAAGATCACTTAGATTTGAAAAAGCATGACAACTTTAGTCTGGTTTGAGGTTTTGGGGCATATGACTTAGTTCTAAGGATGATAATTAATTGGGAGGCTAATTAGGTGGCTACTAGCCTCACTGTGTAGCCTTACTGTGTAACTTGACATGCACCAGGCATGAATCCAATTATGTTACTTCTTCAAGAGATTAAATATGTTATTTGTTATGTAGGCATTAGCGTCAGGCGAAACTACCCTTGCTTTATCTGTAAGAGAGTGGTTGACAATCTTTATTTGTGTCAAGGCACACCTTGGTGGTAAGCCTCAATAGCATATGGTTCGTAGGATTCCTCGAGTTTTTTCAAATATGTGCCGCAGCACATGGGTTGGTCATAATTGCTCTAAGATTTAATGATTATGTCTTTTTGCTTTGGAGGATTCTTAATTTAAATGAATTACTCAATTATGTTCTAGTTTTGAAACTAGAGTCCTTTATATCCAAAACGTGCAGAAGGTATCGAAGTAAAGAGCTGTCTTTAGAGCATCTCTGAACGCAGAAATGGTTCCACGTGCAACCCAGCCAAGGAAAGAAAGTAAGATTTCAAACACAAAACCATCAAAGAGTGCATGCCTTAATTCTAATACTTCCACAACAACATTCCCAACAGGCTACACTCCAGAACTTTTATTTATTTTTATTCTAAACATCTTTATTTCTTTAAACTTTGATCTTCTTGTCGACAAAATACAAATCATTAAGTTAAATGTTAGAACATAACTAGAAATGTAAATTAGATATTTATTTAGGGTTTATTCACAATTGACGTTTCATATTTTAAATTGAGGGATTTTTAATATTATTAAATCTTTTAAAATTAATTTAAGAAAGAAAAGTAAGGGGCCGTTCACTTATGACGTCCAACATTTATGGGGAGGGGGGATTCAGGATTTTGTGATAGTTCAAATAAAGGATTTTTTTTTCACAGAAATTTTGTGACATAGTGAGGGAAGTGGGTCTAGAAATTATGATTTTTGATGGACGTCATAAATGAACTAAGTCAAAAATTCAATTTTCAGTTTGACATCATTTACGAAAATTTTTTACTAGCATCAACTCTTTTCTGGATAATATTCAGACTTGATAATATCAACAGTTCATTGATCAATAAATAAAATACCCGAATAAATTACTATTAAGCTTATCTGAGAATTTTACTCTTAAAATGTTAAAAATATCCAGTCTTCCCTCAAAAAGTATTCCAGAATTAAAGCTCCTGAATGGAATCAAGCGCCAAAAACTACTACGCAAAAAAAATCTGCAAGTCATTACTATTTGGGTTTGTAGATTGTCGCGATTAAAACACATCAGCCATGCCACTTTGCTACACAAGATCTTGTCAGGTTGAGGCGAGTAATTTTCTGTTGACACGAAAAATTAAATTATTTTTAGATTCATAAAAGAAGTCAAATGTAGTCCAATTAAAGCTACAAATGTTATCAAATGTAATATTTCCTGTTTGGATTGCGGATGGAAATTAATCTTGAATTTGATTTATTTTTTGAATCTGAAGCTGATTAAATGTAGGAAGAGGGGGGGGGGGGGGTCATTTGGGGTATAAATTCCCGTTTGTCAACAGAAATGTCAGAAATCAGAAATCTCATTTTGTTAGGTTTTTTAATAACAAATCCTGATCCCCACCTCCTTAATTTTTCAAAAAAAAAAACAGTTTTACAAAAATTCAATATAAAGCAGCTTTAATATTCCCAGAAAAAAAAACTATTTTCGTCTTTATAGAATTAAATTTAATACCTTAAATGAACGCTTTTGCCGAAGAACGTGACGTGAAAAAACTGTCATTTGGAATTTGAAAATGATTTGACCGATTTTTACAAAACAAAGAAATTTTTTTTTTGTTTACACACGTAAAATTAAATTTTATTATTTTTTTATTGAGTTTATTGTACTTTAATTCAAAATGGTTAGAGAAAAACAACAAACAAGTGAACTGAACACTCAAGGATGTATTAATTCAATCAATTATTGGCAAATTTATTAGTATAAGAAAAATCACTAATTTTATTGTAAGAATAACCGTTGATCAGTTTTAAATAACATATACATAACAAAATTGAGAGAATAAGAATTAAAGATGTGCATATTTTATGTGCGTAGCTTTATGTAGGTTACAAGATATTTTATTTTCTATCTAACAAGCGATAAAGCCATCACCCGCTAAACGCATTTTACTGATAACTCCATTAAGAATTATAATCAACACATTCAATAACATTAAAGCTCCTACACTATTTGCATGACAAAACATGGCATGTCGGAGACATAAAAATGAACTTTTTTTCCTTGACTTTGTTTGTTTGCTGTTTTGTGACTTTTTTAAATGAAAAATTCTCAGCTAATAAAAATTTCAGGAAAATTTGCTTTTAATGCTGTTTTAATGCTGCTTTATTTGTTATTTTTCGGCATTAAAGTTTTTCGTTCGGTTGAGTAAGTTTGAATTTTAATAGAAATTTGATGGTTAGAGCGCATTTTTAATTAATGTTTTTTAAAATGTAAAATAGATTTCATATTTTACACTTCTTCGATATTTTCCAAAATAAGTTAAACATAAATTAAAATTATAAAAATATTTAAAAATTTGAAATCTTAAAAAAGGTGAAAAATTTAAATTCCAAGGCAAATAAATATTTCAAATTTTAAAAAAGTAAAAACTTTATTTTACACAAAGTTAAGAAATTTAAAATTAAAGTAAAATTGAAAAAAATGCAAAATTTTAAATAGATTAAAAATTGATATCACAAAAAAGTTCAATATTTAAATTACAAAAATGTTGAAAAATTAAAATTATAAAAAAATTAAAAATATAAAATTTTGAAAAAGTTAAAAATTTAAATTATGAGAAATTTAAAAATTCAAAAATTGTATTTTTAAAAAATTTGAATTTTTAAGAAGGTTAAAATTTTAAAAAAACAGTTTCAAAACTTAAATTTTAAGAATTTAAATTTTTGCATAAAACTTAACCAAAACAGACAAAATATGATCAAACTTACTCAATTTTTTGCTATAAAATCACAACAAAAAAAAATAAAAATAAAGAAAAGACCCAAAAGAAATTAAAAAAGAAGGAACAAAAATCATCACGCAAACTATTAGCATAAAAATCTAATTTGGATCACAATTTACATATAATGTATTTATATTCACATAAAAATAATAATAAAGGAAAATAGGAAGAAAAAAAAATTTCTAATTTGCTCCAATTTCTTTCCTTTCTTTTTCAACTCATTAAATATATTTTTATTGTGTGTTATGTCCGCTGAATCAGCATGGCTTAGACTAAAATTACTTTTTGGGTGAATTAATTGTGGTTTTGTTTATTAGAATTATTAGGGTTTTTTATGGAATTCCATTGGAATAATTGAAATGAAAGGATATTAAGCTAGTTAAGGAAACAATTTATTTTGATTCTTGTGGATGTTATTGTATGAACGGGAGGGGTAAGAGGGGGTTTGCACAATTTAAACTGTTAAATCTTTTTCAAGAACTTGACTACTAGCAAGGATGCACATCTTAAATGCAATTCCGTTTAAAAAACATCATTAGAATCAAGATTCATCAAGTATCTACATTTTGACTACTTAAGCACATAGCATCTCCAACATTTTGTTCATCCTCAATCCCTCCAATTCCAAGTAATTAAGCAAAAACATTAAAATCCTCTTACATCATAAAACAATCAACAAACTTCATCATCAAAGCTTATCCTCAACAATTTCATCCTCAATAACTATGTCAAGCCAGAAACTTTCAACATGACTTCAAGTTGAGCATCAACAATGATTTAATTGAATGAAAATCCTCGAATAAGCGTAAGAACTTTGCCAATTATCCAAGCTGCATGCCTGAAGTAACAAAAAAATAAAATAAAATAATAATGTCAACAATGATGTCTTAATGCGACTTAAAGAAACTTGTGGCACTTTATAATCATTTTCATCGTCGTTAGTCAAACAATGTAGTTTGAGATAAAGTTTTTCAATAACTCTGTTAAGAACAATGGCTCTTAGGTTGAGAGAATGAGCAGTAATTAAATGGAAAAAGTCTTACAATTTTTTTTTGTGTCATTCACGAAAGTTTCTGCATCTACAGGCAGGAACAAAAGAAGAATGAAAAATCAATCAATATTATTACAAAACTTTCTTTTCAAGTCCTTAGTTCCTTAAATTTAAAATATTTATTTTTGCTCTTTTGAACAGCACAAAAAAAGAAATAAAGTCTTGCAGTTTTCACAACGTAAACATTTTCATCATGAAGCTTATTGCTTATTGCTATCGTTGCTTTTCATAGACGATGTAAATAAAAATAGAGTGAAAGGCGGTTTTTTTTGGGGGCTGCTTTTGTATGGTGATGAGTTGGATTTATGGATGTTTTGACTTGATGTCTAGATGTAGTTCTTTTTAATTACGGTTAAGTGGCGCTGATTTAAGATTGATATGGAATTTATTCTGTTGTTCACATAAATTTCGTTAAGCGTTCAAAATAGTCATGAATGATGATCCGAAGTTGTATTGAAGGATTATACAGGTTCATTAGTATTTGATCAATAGTTGCCCGAATAGCACAACTTGGTTAATCCATCAGAAATCCGTCACCAAATCCAGGCGCGTAGCTTGGGGGTCATTAGAAATTTCTTCATTTTGCTAGGGTTTTTATAAAAAATTCCCAAAAGAGAACCTTTCAAACCCACCGCCACCTTTTTGCACCCTCCTCTTTATCCCATCTCTTCAA